GGCAGAAGATGTATTTCAGTCATCAATGCTCACATTCAGCGACACAGGAGCTCTTTCAAGCTGGGCACCGTTTCCTTCACAACACCTGTCCCATCAACCAGGAATCAGAATCAGAAAAACTTTAATAATCCCAGGGAGAAATTAATTTCTTTACATTACTCCATCTGTAATAGAGTGACTATAGGACACAATTTCATACAATATATATAAATAGGGGGTCCCCGCTCCATCTCACCATCAGTTTGGGGGTCCTTGGTCTGGAAAACATAGAAGACCCCTGTTCTTGAGGGTTTTACTATCCATGTAACTTGTTTGTTAAACCTGCCTGGTATAATTTTCCAGGATTCCAGGATTCCTTTTTAGTATGTATTGAAATGGAATTTCAAATGGAAAAAATTATTAAAATAAAAAAAAAACCTTTGCACCTTAAAGACTACTTTCCTATTTTTCTTTTAATAATTACTCATAAAAAGACCATTCAAGCAGCACATTTTTCCTTATGTTTTTGAGAATATACTGTAGGGGTGAAAGCTGCAGCTGCTACTAGTGTGAAGTGAATGGACAGCAACAAAGCATTAAAGCAACAATGGGGAAATGCTGTCCCCTCAATGCTAATGTAAACCCTGGTTGGATAAGGATTCAAAACTGGATATGAAGATGAAATCTGACGCACAGTTTCAGTGTTATAACTGATAAAATAATTGCTGTCTGTGGTTCTACAGTAGGCTATGATGTAATTGAGCAATATATGAAAAAAAAAAAAAAGAACTATGAACTAGTTCATTTTTTGGAATTGTGAACTATGAACTGAACTAGTTCATTTTAAAATGTGTGAACTGAACTTTGAACTAGTTCACGTAGAAAGAGAACTTTCCCAACACTGGTTATAAGAATTGAAAAAGTAAGATATTGTCAAAATTATTAAAACTCTGGCAGATCTATGTTTAAATTAATTCTTATTGAATCAAGGAGTAGGAAGGAAATAAAGCAGGTATTTCATAAAATAAGATACTGTAAAGGGCAGGATGTTGCTGTGTCAATGTCCTGAAGGGGAATAACTGGGCTGCTGCCATCAACACCTTTGATTATAGAACACAAAGTTAGGCTTGTTTATCAGTGCTTGGGCCTGTTTCTCTCCTTCACATAATTGTAGACCCATTGTTTATTATAACTAACAGTATGTGCTCTTTTTCATCACTGACATGAAAACTGGCTCAGAGCTTGTCTGTTTAACTGTTTCTTTCCTGGACAGAGCCAACTGTGGAGCTATTCACTTTCCTAACACAGAAAGTATTCATGACTCAGTGCTTCATGTCAGCTTTTTTCTCCTTGAACCCTAGTGGGCCTCAGTTGAAGGCCGCTCACACTGAGCCTGGTTCTCCTTCTGCTGGAAGTTTCTTCCTGTTGAAAGAGAGTTTTATTCTCCTCTGTCCCTGCATGCATGCTCCATGTAAAGAAATGTTGTAGAGTCAACGATATAATGCAAGCAAATATCTACCATCGCCACTTTATCGTCCAAGAGGAGAGAATCACGAAAGTCATTGAGTCGATGCAGTCAGACGGATTAGATGAATAAACTGAATTAAATTAATTTGAAAAAAATAATATAAAGAGGGCCCAGAATATGTGCTTCCAGCTTTTGTCCTCAGGGCTCCTCCTCCCTCCATAAAAGACATTTCATCCCAGCGCTGCATGTCCCGAACCCGTAACATTATCAATGACCACTCACACATCCAACATTGACTGTTCTCCCTGCTGTCCTCTAGGAACAGGCTTTAAAGCATTCAATGCAGGTCCAGCAGATTCTGAAACAGCTTCTTCCCCACCGCCATCAGACAGCTGAACTGTTGAGAAAACTCCAAATCATGTCACAGACTCTGCATCACACTGACAGCACCAAACCAAAACGCTGCATAAATTGCACCATCAATATTAATGCTCTGAACTTCCATATCAATGCATTTTTTGCACCATGTTTTTTTCTCCCACATTGTTTACATTTGATCACTGTTGCACTTTATGGAATGGAAATATCATGTAAACACTATGTATACAAAATGACAATAAAAGTTTTCTAAGTCTGAGTAAGTCTAATTCTTAAGGTGCAATGGAAACTTTTTGTTTTAAGCAAAACATTTCGAAAAAAAAAAAATCTAATTTCTACAACTGAATGTGAGGTTTCCTAAAACTGTGACTTTGTATGTAATGCTTCTTTCCTTAAATTAAACTGTCAGGCTGTATGATTCAAATACATGTAGCACCCCACTGCCCTTATTATGTAATAACTGGGACCAGAAAGTAAACAAACTAGTTGGTTGCTGTTTTGGGTTCGTTAAATTCAGGCAGGTACGATGTAGGTTTACCTAACTTAAGCCAAAACGTATTGCTCTAATCACTATTCACCACGCATATAAGTATAATAACTGAAATAATTCCAGACAACCTGCTATTAAAACAATTTTGTTTAATGAGAACACAACCAAACACAGAAAAACATTTGTTTACAAATAAAATTAAATGTTCAACCCAAACTTGGGATAACGACCCTGATAAATGTAAAAAATAAAAATAAAAAACACTAACTATAAAGGCTCTTACCAAAATTTAAATCTCTCTCAATTAAATGCAAAAACTAGTTCAAAATTTTTTTGCAAAACTAGAATCCCATTTTTTGGCATAAAAAGCACCCCATACCTTTACAGGAAAATGACCCCTAGGAACACTAGAAAACCTACAAGTGGGCCCAAACACACACACAGTTCGGTATTGCTTTAATTTTTGTTGCAGTCCTGTTGATGCTAGGATGCGGTGCAACAAATGAGCCTCCGCTACGCTGCAGTCTCCCTTAGATCAGCCGCGGTTCTCGTCTCGGCTGCTTCACCTCCATCGCGCATCGACACACCTCAGAAGTCACAGACTAGGAGTGTTGAATCGACTTGTTGAAAAAAAACATGGAACAGTTCAGTGCGTTCTCCAACCTCGTTCCAGCGCTCCTAAACTCAGGTCTCCATCTGCATCCTCCTTCCACTTTTTTCTTCCCACTCTCACCTTCTTCCTCCAATCATCCCCCAATCTGTTTTTTTTCTTTTTTTCTCAACTTTTCTCAACTGTCCCTCAGATTTCTAATTACTTTCCTTTCTTCTACTGGTCCTCAGTCCGTAGCGTACAGACTAATAAAAGAAAACACTGATACTCTCACTTGTATTTATCATACAAAGAATATACAATAATTATAAACATACTCTAACATTTTCAGTGCATGGTGTTTTGTTTGTTTTTTTTTAGCCAAGGGCTGCATACAGATACAGGAAAATTATAGAAACAAATTCAGGTTATCCATATAGAGCTAATTCACGGTACTATCAGATTGGTTACAAGTTTATGACATGGAAAACCAGTTGATTGTATAGAGTCAATGACTTGCAAGACATGCTCCTCCTGGTTGAGCTTGCAGTTACGATTTTAATTTGTTGACTCTTCAGCAATGCCTCTGCGACAGTGGAGAGGAAAAACTCATTTTAACAGGAAGAAACCAGCAGAACCAGGGTCAGTGTGAGCGGCCATCTGCTGAGGCCGACTGGGGTTCAAAAAGACGGAAGCAGACAAAAAGAAGCAGAGATACAAAAAGAAGCAGATACAAAAGGTCACTGTCAACCAGCTACAGGGGCGGTCCCTTCTAGGAAACACACAGCCAGGTAGACGAGCTCCGAACCAGCTCCCATGTCAGAGGATGAAAGAGAGCACAGTCAGAGAAACAGGACTACACTGAAAAACTTTCCAAGCTCCAACATTAAAAAACAGAAAGTTGATAGCAGCAGCAAAAATAGAATAATAATAAATAAATTTATCTATTAATCAAATAATATGGAGAAAGTAATAATAAAGGACAAAGATAACTTATTATTGAACAGCAGAGCTGTCAATTTTCCATATGATTCACCCAGAGTTGCTGGCTTCACATTCTTCCTTTTTCTTGTGTAGAATTTGCTAAGAAACCATAGCAAACTTCTGCCCAGGCGCTCCACCACATCATCAAATAATACTGGTGTTTATTTGTTGTTTTTCTGTGCCTTGGCTGAGCTCAAGTTTACAGGGTGACTCTTGGCATGCCGTAAAACTGCTTCCAGTCTGGCCAGAACCACCATTTGCTGCAGGAGCTGGGACTAGATGATCACTTCCAGCAGTACTTCTATCTGAACAGAACCTGGTATCAGGGTCCGCAGGGTTGGGGCAGGAGGATGGATCAACCTGTGAAACAATAGTTCAGAACTTCTGCATAATTTTGCTGCACTCTATCCATATCCATGCCACCACCTCCCCTAATGCCAGTGCTGCTTCAATATATCTGCAGGTCTGCTGTGTTTTTTGCAATGATGCTTCGCTGTAATATGAGCCAATCACTTTGCTTGATTCAGTGACCATTTATCTGCACCAGAAAGCGCCCTTACATTGGAATAACATGGAAATCACTCATTGTATTCACATTCATAGTGAATGTATTAAGAGTTGAAAAACATGAATCAAACATGAAACAAATCTGTGTTATGAATAAACTGCTTAAAAAAGTTGCAGGGACCGTTTTCACCTAATTTTTGTTGAATTATCAGCTGAATGTATTTTTCTCACAGATGCACCTTTTAAACTTTGTTTTTCTGACCATGTAATAAATTTATTCAATAGGCAGTCTGTAAACGAACACGGATGTTATGAAAAATGGAAATAATTACCATGGTGAACACTAGCAGTCAGATAATACAGCTGGACTCTCACCTGAGACACACAATGGTGAATAGAGGCCGTCAGTTTTCTCAGACTTTTGGTCATAAATATTCAAATCATTTGTTCCACCCTGTTACAGACGTTGGTTTATCCAGCATTTTACTTCCTGAAGGTCTGTAATTACTTTTCCTGTGAAACATGCACCTACTGCATCCAGTTTTGAATATTTAAATTGTGACGTGGTAAAATTCATCTGCTGTCCAGAAATCAGCAAAACAAACATACCAACAGTTTAGTGGGACAGTTTTCAGCAGAGCATCAAGAAAGGAACATCCCATTTAGTGAGGAGAAAGGAAGCAGAGGAAGGTTTGAGCTCAATCTGTTCTTGTATCCAACCTTATTAAAACCTGCTTTATCAATTTTTTTGTTATATCTTTATTTATTTATTTAAAGGTCTTTTTTATTTGTAAACATTAAACTTTTCAGTTTTTTGTTCTCTGATCTGTTTCCTGTTTGGCTTCAGCTCCTCTCCTATCATTGTTTCTCTGTACAGTGGAGGAAGAGCTGCAGGTTTTCAGATCCTGATTTAAAGTATTTAATGTCTTTTTCCTCCAACAGAGAAAAATTCTCTCCAGACAGCAGATATGCAGTGGAATCTGGTTCTGTTCTTTCTGATGGGTAAGTTGATATTAAGCCAAGCTACACTCACTGGTTTGTGATACATTACAGGCTTAAAAAAATAAAACTTCTACATTATAATGTTTTATCAAGTGCTTCATATTCAGTCATTTATGCATTCAAATGCAGATTGTGTTCAGCTACACTGTAACCACAGCTGCCCTGGAGCAGCCAGAAGCAAAGCCACTGAATCTGCACCACAAGCAGAGAAGGTTGATGATCTGATCAATGACAGAACAACTGAAATGGAGCAAAGGCTCAAACAGCGACGCACCTTTGATACAAGACAACCTCCCCTGAGCCACTTCACCCCTATAACCCTACATAAACCTAAACTAACGACCTACTGCAAATGCTGGTGGAGATTTATAATCTAGTGCTAAATACAGCAACATTTTTATATTTTCAGGTCAGAGTTGTTTCATCAACTGTCAGCTCTATGACTATCTCTACATTAATGAGGAAAAGAACTGGACTGAAGCTCAGCAGTACTGCAGAGAGAAACACACTGACCTGGCCACAGTGTCTAACATGACAGACATGAAGAGACTCCTCAGTACCACAGCAGGAGATAAGAGGGATGCTTGGATTGGTCTGTATGATCAGACAGATGGTATCAGAACATGGTACTGGTCTCTGCCTGGAGTGGAGTTCAATGAAAGGGAGACAAACTGGAGCACAGGAGAACCAACTGATACAGGACATGAGAACTGTGGATATTTAAATAATGACCTTAGATGGATAGATAGTGGTTGCCAACATACATACCATTTCCTCTGTTATGATGGTGAGAATGTTGATTAACTTTCTGTAATTTGTTTATGTTATTGTGAAATTATTTTCTTTGTTTTATTGAGTATTTTTTCTACAAACAACAAAACATGTAAACTCAATGTGATGTGAGTTTATCTGTTTACTCCACAGAAACTAATAGAGCCCAGAAATACCACTTGATTAGAGAGAAGAAGACCTGGCAGGAAGCTCAGAGTTACTGCAGAGAGAAACACACAGACCTGATCAGTGGAATGAAGCAGCTACAGGATGGAGAACTGAAGGAAGTGATGAAGTCTGCAGACAGCAAAACATACTTTGGTCTGTTCAGAGACACCTGGAGGTGGTCAGATGGAAGCAGCTTCTCTTTCAGACACTGGAATAAAGGCTCAATCAATGAGGGACCCAACAGTGGTCGCTGTGCCCTGGCTGGGATTGATGATGAAGGCAGATGGAAGACTGACAGCTGTGACCAGGAAAAACCCTTCATCTGTTATGATGGTGAGTTGGTCCCACATTAATAGAAATGTGTCGGTTTAATGCATGTATGTATTTAATTAGTGTCTTCTGTGTGTTTTAAAACAGAAGTTAGAATTAATTAAAAATACATTTTTACCCCAAATTGAAGAACATCACCGGCTCACAGTGAAATGTTTTTTTTTTTTGTTTTTTTTGTCCATAGTTTATTTTCTGGTTCTTGTTTCTGAATAGTAACTGAAATAAAGATGAAAATTTGTTTGTTTGGTCCCATATCTTCTGTAACAGATAAATTGATCCTGATCAAAGAAAAGATGAACTGGGAGGATGCCTTATACTACTGCAGAGATCACTACCATGACCTGGTCACCATCACCAGCCTGGATGAGCAGAGATGGATCCAGGAGAAAGCCAAGAAGGCGTCGACTGATTATGTCTGGATTGGACTGCGCTACAACTGCTTGATGAAGGCCTGGTTCTGGGTCTGTAAGGAGAACTGGGGCAGCAATCAGAGCCCGGCCTCAGAAAGATGGAAGAATGACTGTGACATGTCTGGAGCCATGGATGCAGGAGGACAACATAAGTGGTTCCAGAGAAATCCCTCAGAGGAACTGAATTTCATTTGTTCTAAGAATTAAAGCTCAAGCTGATCTCTGGAGTCATAGTCTTAAAAGCTAACTGTGGTGGAAAAAAAATAAAATAACATTTCTCGTGGTTGGGGCTTTATAAATTAAAGAGAATAAATATAAAAGCTCTAATGTATAAACTGTATTGATGGCTGGGGTAAAATATATTTCTTCTTGAAGCAATTAGAGCTGCAGTTACTCTCCTGGAGATTATGTAGTCAATCTCTATTTTCTGTGTAAATGATCATAGGCATCTATTCTTAGACCAAATATTGGAGTAAAACATGTAGATTAATTTGAACAAGATTGTTCTCATCTCATGTGGTGTCGTTCAAAGACACATATTTGATGTTTTTGGACTTTTTCACTTGTTTGCTTTTCAATAAATTGGTTGCATCTAAAACTGTGTCCTCTATCTAATGAATTATAAAGTTTAAGTTATTGGACTTAAATATATATTTTAGAGGAGAATGAGTTTCTAATGCTGCTGAACATTTGATCCCTTTTAATACTAACCTGTTTAGAAAAAAAAGTTATATTATATTATTATAAAAGTTATATATAAGTTATAAGTCATATTTAAAAACAAAAGACCTATAATTCTTTGGTTTATTTTTTCTTTTCAAAATACAGTATAGAATTTTGCCTGTAAATAAAACGGTCTAATCTCAGTGTAGATTTTTACTGTAATATTAAGAACATCCAGGAAAAATAGGAAAAAAACAACATCTTTTGAATTGATCTTATAATGATCTATAGTTTAGAAATTATTTACATCTTTAGATGATGAAATTATGTATTCATGTGGAGTAAATGTCACAAATGAATAATCATTAGATGGAAGTAGAAACCATCAATGTTATACAGACAATACAAATGTTAGATTTCAGGTGATAATAATAGTCCATTGAATGGTTTAGCTTAAATCACAGGTGATGCAAAAATACCACAAACTGTTTTGCACTGATCAGTTTTCACAGGTTCTTCCTCATACAGATGGTATTTAATTACTGATATTTTCTCTGTCCTCCTAATAAATTGATGACTAAGTCATTATTTTAGAGAATATCATGTTCTGTAAACAGAAACTTTACATCAATGGTCTTATATAAAATATGTAGCTGCTCATTTATTATCCCTTAATGAAGGAAGAGCTGTGAGAGCGATGAGGATAACTGAGAGAAACAGATTAAATAAAAGCTTTGAAGACACTAACTATTAATCATCACTCCTGGTAGTAAAAATGTGTTAGCTTTAGCTCATAGCTAACAGTATAAAGTCCTGTGTCAAAAATTAAACAAATTCTCCCTGTTTAAAAATTGAGTTACATTCCAGCGCTAAAAGAACGCTGCTACTAGTTAGTGTAAAATCATTGTGAGGAACCTGATTGTTTATAAACTCTGCATTGTTTACTGTCTTTGGTCGTTCTGCATCATCAGCTGTTTCTCACTTTATACATAGATGGGTATAAACTGTGAAAACAGGAGCTGAGATCATCAGAGTGATGCCAGTCGATCATAATAACAGCATTAGTAATAACAATAATTATTTACTACCACTATCCGGTCAATGTTGACCTGTAAGAGTCAAACTGGAAATGTTTCATGATTTTAAATATGCTTTTCATGTTATGTTAAATATGTGTGTATGAATAAAAAAAATGCCAGCAATTGGTTTCAGTTGACAAAGGAGCTCAATGGGGACAATCATATTGTTACTTTCATTATAAAATTCTTTCAAAATGAGAACTTTTGTCTTTATGTTGGTTTTAGTTTGGTCTAATTACTCCCACTCCATGTTGGATTTCCTCCAATCACTCCCAGCCACCAGTCAGCATCATAAGCATCATATAAAAAGCTTATGATGCTTAAGATGCAGCTCCTTGTATTCCTAGAATGCCTGGATACTTTCTCTTAACCACTTTCAGTCTGACACAAGTGGAGAAACTCCCCATCACCATACTATGTGTCCAGCTTTTTCTCAGATCATTTGTTTTTCTCAATAACATCAAATAATCCATCAGCTGGTCTTCCCCTCAATACAAAGAGCTTTGTGTGCTGACATGGGAGGAGTTTGAGGGAGTCATTCTACTTTTCATGTGTTCTGTATTGCAGCAAATCTTGATCTCTCCTTTTCATGAAGAAGTTCCTATTTTAAAGCTCCGTTCCAGCTATCAAGGTCAGATCATTAGATGTTGTTTTCTGTTCAGTCTGTTGGTTCTAAGGTTCATGTCCTGGATTCTGGCGGCCAGAGGAAAGAGTGTTTTGTATTTGTCCTGTCTCCTGCTCGTCTACTGTTTCTCCCCTGTTGAGTCCTCGCGATTTTTGGCTCTGTGGTTTGTGGTTTTTTCCTTGGATGTTATTAGGTTAAATATTAAAGTGTGCCGTTTCTTTCTTTCTGAATAGGGGTGATTAGTTAGAAGCTATTGTTCCATTCTTTATGCTGAGATGTAGGGAAAGGAAGGAGGTTTGAAAAGGAGTTTCCTCCCTAGTTTAGATGAGAGGAAAACATAGATAAACAGGTCCTTATTGTGTTTAAGATCCTCATGTCCTGTCTCTGGTCTGAACGGAAAACAGTTGTCTGAAATGTTTATCTGAACAAATTTATGTCCTTTGATGAAGTGTTTCTGTTGGGAAGACTCAATGTTCGTGTGTAAGAATTCTCTATGTATGCAAAGGGTGGGCAGTGACCTAGTCAGAGCTACACTAGGAGCTGTATGCAGCTGTCTCATATAGTTCTCCTCTGCAGAGTAAAATAATCCTTTTTTTTCTTCCTTGCATATCAACTCTCAGTGCTCATTTTTACTCCACAGCTCTTTACGAGGGGAGGTTCAGTTTTTATTCCAGTAAGCCTGGTTCCAAGGTGGAGACCAGTTTAAAGGTCCTGCTCAAGTTCTGGTTCCACGTCCTGTCTCGGCTACCCTTTTCCACTGAGCCTGCCCATCTGCACCTGATTTTGTTTGCTCCTGTCACACTTCTGGACTCTGAACCTGCCTGGGAGCTCTAGGATGCCTGGAAGCCTGGATCCTGCTTTTTCGGTCAGTTCCTGCCTGTTCTGAATCCCTGTCCAGGATTGGCTTCCTGCAAGTCTTCTGGGAATGCTGCACTGGGGACATTCTTAGTGACGTATGCCACATCTTTCTTCAGTCCAGCGGCTGGATTGTGCCCTTTTCCAGGGAGATGGACTGAACTTTTGAACCAGGTAAGTGACTCACTGAGATAATCTTCTTCTGTCAGATGATTGTGGTCACTTACCTGTGTTTCTCCCACCAGAGTGTCTGAGATTGGTTGGTGCCCTGCCCCCCTCCTGCAGCATCCAAGAGTCGCAGATCCTAGCAGATCTACTTTAGTTTCAGTTTGTCCATGTTTTTATAATAATAAACGTTTTGAACTTTTTCACTGACTGTCTCACCTCTGGGTCCATCTGTCACTGTTTTATGACACTCGTAGCTTACGCAAAACGTTGTATTAGTCTCATGTAAACTTTGTAAGCAGCATAACAGTTATTCATTGGCACACAAATGTTTT